AATCATCTATTTAACAGAAACATATCTACCATAATCTGTGTAATTGACAGCAATATTTATTTTGGCTTGAATTTTTTAAAACTTCTGAAGTATTAGTAGCTCAATATCGACAGGCTAAGGAATAATAAGCTTACTTGCTTTGGCAGTTTTGGAAGAATCAATGAGGGAAAAAATTTCAAGCAAACGACTTTCTGCAACAAGGTGTAGAACGTATTTTTGATGAGTTTTTCAGAAAATGTACATTATCAGCCAAACATAAGGAACAGTTGTTACTATCTGAGTTTTGCTGAAGTGATAAACTGGTCTATTTATTAGAGCAACAATAGCTGATGAGCAGTAACTTAAGTAAAACTGGCCCTGCTTTCTGAGACGCTTTTGTGAGACTTGACAAAGGAAAAAACTTTAAGCAGATAATACAAACACCGCAATTCACAAAGTTGTAAAGTAATTCTTCATTTATTAAAAAATTGAAATAAACAAAATGCAAACAATCAATAAACATCGTTACAATTGAATAGTTTTTTTCCTCTTTTTTTTTAAGTTTAAAAAACTTTTTTTGTCGACAATTAACTCTACCACATAAATTTTTTTATCTAGCTGTGAAATAAAACATTATTTGCACTATTTGTGCACATTCATTAGAAATTTAAAAGTTTCAGCTAACTACAATTTTGCTTCTACCTACATGCATTCGATTAGATTACAAAGTATCTACAAAGTCAATTTTTTCCTTTTTTAACAAAATTCTGAGCAAGCCCATCGTTATTCAGCCAACTTTCAATTTTCAAAGTTGCAACTTTTTGGTGCGCTTGAGATAGCGTCTCGTTGCAAATGAAGGCTGTAGCGGCCCATGCTTGACAACAGTTTAATCTTTGTACTCTAACAATTTAAATGAACAATAGCGTTTTCTTCCTGCTGGTGACAACTGTTTTGTTGTTAACAGATACATAAACTATTCAAAATCATTACAAAGTAGCGATAAAATTAGCTGTTACTTTGACTGGCTTTCAATTGGCACATTTTTATTTTTTAGCACAGATATCATTATCAACTATGTTTGTGTTCACACTTGTGTTGAATCTGTTAGTAGAACTGCATCTACGATTAAGACTGTCTAACCAGAGCTAAAACAATAACGCCTTTAGCCGTATCTTGCCGATCTTCCATTAAATGCCTTAAGAAGTGGTAACACTATTTATGTTCCATTATCTTTCAAGGAGTTTTTTTTTAATTATAGAATTTATGTAAGATTATGTGTACCATTTAAACAAAGCAAGGAAGCCAGCATTGAATTATTGGCTATAGTTCAGTTTCATTGCTTCATCTTCCTTGTTGGTTGTAATGAAGAGCGACAACACCTTCTGCGGTCAGGGTTTATTGAATTTTGCCGAAATTTGCTGGAAGTAAAGCAGGAGTAAATAACGCTGTTTTAAATAATTTCCTTCGACATAAAAAACACTCCAGACGTGAACTAATATAAAATGCTTTAGGACCTGAACAGTAATAAGCATTCATAGCACGTCGCAGCTAAGAAGCTGGAAGGTCTAGTTACTGTCTGTGAGAACGTCTATATTTTTCAGCCGAAATTTGAGCTTAAAAATAGGACCGTTATTTATTAAACAGAAAAATCCGTTCCTAAGAATGAAGGAAAAAACTGCCACTTACCAAAGAATACATTTGTTGAAAATCTTCGTGAAGGTTTTGTTGGCTCATCTCACTGCAGTTGCGTCGCTTAACCGTCCTTGAAAATATTTCCAGGAAACAGCGGTTTCAAATCGCGTTCGCCAAAATTGAGTGGAGCAACTATTTCTGTAATTCGACTTCAACTTGCACAGAAGAAGGAAAATTTACATAATTATCAAACTAAACTGCTACGCTGTTGAAAATCTTTCTTACCACTATTGATCTAACACATAGAAACAATGTAAAGGTTTTTCAATGTCATACTTTTGTTTGCAAATGAAAGAAAACAATGTTTTTTCGTCGCTTAAAAAAGCTAAGAACTTTTAAAGGGTCTTACAAAAGGCATAACAAAAAATGAAACATAGAAACTGTAGTTTCAAACGAAAGAAAACGTTGTAAGTCGAATCTCTAATTGAACACAAATTCAGTTTTTTTTTTTATTTATTTTATATTTGTGTGAAATTCTCCCTGAAAATATTTCTGAAAAACGACTAAGATTAAAAAGAAGAAAATTTTTTGTCAGAATTATTATTTGTGAAGTGATATGTTGGCGGTTACTGTAAAAATAAAACGACATCTTCAAAGGTAACTTGATACGGTGAAAATACCTGTTTTCCTTGAGAAATTCGCAAAATTTTCAACAAAGTGACAGCGCCGAAGAACGGCGCAGAATATCCCAGTTTTGTTTTCGGAAACCCTCAAATAGTGTTTAAAAAAAACGGTATTGCTGTCAAATGTTTTGAAGCAGTTTTACAGGAACTGTTCAACTTCTCTCACGACGAACACGTAACTGTAGTTTCTTACTGTTATTATTTTGTATTACAAAGCTGAATTTGTTTGCTGCTTGCAGGAAATTCTTAAATTTTTAAGACTATGTTAGGTATAAAATAATACACAAACAAAAAAAGTTTTTTAAAAAGCAATTGAAGGAGATAAACAAGTGAAGAAAAAAGAAAACTAAACAAAACGGGTTGATGTTGCATTCTTTTGTTCAACAATGAGTATTTGTCCCAAAAAAGAAAGAAAAAAAAGAAATAACAATTTTTTTGTAACTGTTTTTTACCCTAATCAATTTTTGTGTCAACATTTATACTGAAATAAAATAAATTATACGACAGTAAGGAAAAGTGTTCATAATAATATTTAACTGAATTCTAAGTAAATTTCTTTTACAGTCAAACACGTGGTAGAACTCACCTGTGCCACAGTTCGCAACAATGACAAATTTTGCCAGCATATTTATAGTATTTTTTAATTTACAAGCAGTAATTATTTTACTTGCATATTTTGATGACA